TGTGGGGCTCCGAGAAAACGGAGGGAGCTGAGTCAAATGGGGTCTGCCAGACAAGCCGAAGCACCCCGAGCGGGCAAGTACTATGAACGCCGCTGGCCGCCACCTGCGCTTCCCACTCGCCGCTTTTTAAAAGAGAAGTCAGAGGACCGACGAGAAAAATTTCCTGTTGCCAAAACCCTCACCAGACACCCATCTACACCCCGCCCAGACCCATTGACCCTCCACCGCCATGGACGCCGTTCTTCGCCAGTCCAAGGCCATGTGCCCGTTCTTGAAATCGGCCTCGCCTTCGACCCTTCGTGCCCTCTCCACCTCGGCACGCCCCAAGGCATCCTCACCATGCGGCAGCACAATGTCCAACCTGCAGCTGCTTGCCCACCGATGCCCCGTCATGGGCAAGGCTATGGCTGTCCAAACCGCCAAGTACGGCGGTTCTGCTGCTGCTTTCCGGTCCTTCTCTGGCCAACCCAAGGCTAGCAGGGCCAAAATCCACACCAGCCGCAACCAGGAGGCCAGGGCCGTCGATTCGCCCGTCCTCCAGGGACGCGACAAAGGTGAGGCTTCTTCCGTCCCTTCAATTCCTGTTGTTTGGTCATGCTGACCCCCAATTGATAGCCCCAATCCCTCCTCCAAGCATGTTCGCTCAGGCCCGCAAGGCGTCTCCTCTTGCCTCTGCTGATGCCTGCACCTCGGCCTCCACCTTTGACTACAATGCCTTTTACGATCATGAGCTGGACAAGAAGCACAAGGACAAATCGTACCGCTACTTCAATAACATCAATCGTCTCGCCAAGGAATTTCCCCGCGCCCACATGTCGAACAAGGATGAACGAGTGACTGTCTGGTGCGCGAACGACTATCTCGGAATGGGACGAAACCCACGAGTCCTCGAGGCCATGCACCAAACCTTGGAGGAGTACGGTGCTGGGGCTGGTGGCACCAGGAACATTTCTGGACACAACAAGCACGCCGTTGAGCTGGAGGGAACATTGGCCAAACTGCATGCCAAGGAGGCAGCTCTTGTCTTCAGTTCGTGCTACGTGGCCAATGATGCGACACTCGCAACTCTCGGGAGCAAGATGCCCGACTGTGTCATCCTTTCTGACAGCCTGAACCATGCATCCATGATCCAGGGTATCCGACATTCCGGGACCAAGAAGATTGTTTTCAAGCACAATGATGTAGCCGATCTGGAGGCGAAGCTTGCATCCCTGCCGCTGCATGTGCCTAAAATTATCGCATTCGAGTCAGTATACAGCATGTGTGGCTCAATTGGACCAATCGAAGCCATCTGCGATCTTGCTGACAAGTACGGCGCCATTACTTTCCTTGACGAGGTGCATGCAGTAGGTATGTACGGACCACACGGGGCTGGTGTGGCGGAGCATCTGGATTGGGAGGCACATCACGAGGGAATGCCCCGGGGCACAATCATGGATCGAGTTGACATCATCACGGGCACCCTGGGTAAGGCGTATGGTTGTGTTGGTGGTTACATTGCCGGCAGTGCCAAGCTGGTCGACATGATTCGATCGCTGGCTCCTGGCTTCATCTTCACGACCTCGCTCCCTCCGGCCACAATGGCTGGTGCAAAGGCCTCGATTGAGTACCAGATGGCGTACGACGGCGACCGCAAACTGCAGCAGTTGCACACCCGCGCCGTCAAGGAGGAGCTCGACAGCCGAGACATCCCGGTCATCCCGAACCCATCTCACATCGTGCCGCTCCTTGTGGGCAATGCTGAACTAGCCAAATCGGCCTCGGACATGCTTCTGCAGGACTACGGCATCTATGTGCAGTCGATCAATTACCCCACCGTCCCTGTCGGCCAGGAGCGACTCAGGATCACACCCACGCCAGGCCATGTCAAGCTGTATCGCGATGAACTAGCCGAGGCACTGGATGAGATCTGGACCCGACTTGGAATCAAGCGCACCTCTGATTGGGCTGCCGAAGGTGGCTTCATCGGGGTGGGCGAGTCAAAGGTCCAGGAGGAGTCACCTCTGTGGAACGACAAGCAGCTTGGGGTCGAACAGGCCACCAGGGAGATCATGGCCACTGGCGGCATCCAGAGTGTTACCGAGGCCCTTTTGGAGCGGGATGAGCTGCGCGGGGCTGTTGGCCGTGTTGCCGCAGCCTAAGTGGCAACAGATCTGCTTTCCCCCTTGGGGGATTTGTCGTTTGAATTCAGCGAAACCGGTCGTCATGTAACATTGACGGCCCAGCCGTTGCAATCTAGACATGTGAGCATTGAGCGAGCGCATGCACGCATCTAACTCTAGTTACTTTCGTATGAGCACCTGATCTTGAGAGATGGGACCTCATCTTTTGTTTTCATTTTGGATAGATATCTTGCTTATCCCTCATTTTGAATAAGCTCAAATGGGCCCATGATGAATGCAATATTTGCCTACTCTTTTCCACCTCATCAACAGTTTCCCCTGCCATTACCATCGTCCAGTGAAGATAAATGTGTCCATCTATCAATTGAGTTTGTATTTGCGGTATTTTTAGGGGCAAATATTAGCGAACATGACATTTTTGGGGGGCACTCGAATGTGTTCGTATGTGGCTTTAGGGTAACCGTATATAAGACGTAACCAGCAATGAGACATCACTCTGCTATCCTACATCTACCAGGCCCAGACATGAACAGGAAGGTCAGATGCGGGCAATCTTGATGAGCGACAGCCAGCGAGAGTCGCCCTCCGCCGTCGCCTTCCTGACGCCGTACAGCTCATCGATGAAAGCCGGGACAAAGGTCCCCGGGCCTCGCACCTCGGCCCTGCCCGCGGCCAGCTCGGCCGCGACACCGAACATGGCCGTGCCGGCCACGGCAGCCACGAGGGTGTCCTGCGGGTAGGCGGCGATCATGGCGCTGATGGTGGTGCCGAGGGTGCACCCCGTGCCGGTGACCTGGGCGAGCAGCTCGTGGCCGTTGTCGACGCGGAAGGTGCGGCGGCCGTCGCTGAGGATGTCGGTGACGCCAGTCATGAGGACGACTGCTCCCTGGGCACGGGCGACGGACTGGACGACGGAGGCGCGCTGGGCGAGGGAGAGGGTGGAGTCGGAATCGACGCCGCGCTGGGTGACGGAGGCGCCGTGGAGGGTCTGTATCTCGCCCTCGTTGCCCTTGATGACGGCGAAGGAGCCGGCGGCGAGGAGGGTCTTGACTGCCGAGCGGCGGACGGCGGTGGCTCCGGCGCTGTTGGGGTTGGGGGATCGTGTTAGCATGGGGAGGGGATAGAGGCTTGGGATGGATATAGGAACGTACCCGACGGGGTCGAGGAGGACTGGCCCGCCTGCGGCGTTGTAGGCCTCGAGTGCCTGGATGTAGTTCTTCAGGCCGTCTGGGGTGACGGTGCCCATGTTGATGACGAGGGAGCCTCCCAGCTTGGCCAGGTCAGCGGCCTCCTCGGCGTAGTTTGCCATGATGGGGCTTGCGCCGACTGCGAGGCCGACATTGGCGGCGAAGTTCTGGACAACCTGTAGATTCCCCCCAGCAAAGGTTAGTAGCTCAGCCGTTGTAGTTGGGAAAGGGGATGCTGACAAGGTTGGTCATGTTATGCGACAACGGCGTCTTCTTGGCCACCGCCTGGATGACATCTGGGACCTTGGCCGTGAGGACCTTCGCACTCAGCTCTCTGGCTGCGGCAGCAGGGTCGGCGGCGGCGATGATGGCGCTCACCACAGCGACACCGTCCAGGCTCTTGGCCGGCGCGCTGCTCTGCGTCATCACCTGCTGCGCGTTGGAGATGTTGATGCCGCCGATGCAGACGGTGGAGATGTCGTCGTGGCCGTTGGCAGCCAGCTGCGAGAGGATTGTCCGCACGCCGCTGGACCCGATGATGGACTTGGTGTCCTTCTTGGTCTGTGTAGAGTACACGGTCCCGATTCCCAAGTAGTCCGCGCCGGCTTTGGCTGCTTGGAGCGCCTCCTCGATGGAGCTGGCCGTCACGCCGATGATCTTGCCGGGGCCGAGTAGCTCTCTGGCTTGCTTGATGTCTATTGTCGTATATCACTTAGTTAGTACATAGGTCTAATTTCCATGAGAGTATAAACGAACCCAAGTCATCCTGGCCTATGTGTGCCTTGATAATTTTGTCAGTCGACATGTGTTTCAGCTCTGGAACGGGCAACTTACACCCTCGCAACCAATCTCAGCAGCGACGTCAACCTGGTCGTTGATGAGAAACGGGACTCGGAAGCGTTTGCAAATATCATGGAGCTTCTTGGCAGTCTCGACGACAACATCCCTTGATGAGTGCTTGTCTCTGTACTGGACGATCGTGACACCACCCTGTAGTGCGGCCTCGACGACTTGGCACAGGTCCCGGTCCCCCAAGATTCCCGGCGTCGAATCAGTGACTAAATATGTGCTGTAATCGACCGGTGCCGCCATGTTGTATGCTTTGCCTCCTTGAGTGCTCGTTCTTCCGGCGCTGGTATGAGATTCGGGTGGCACCTCACTGTCACCCCTCACTTCCTCCCGAGAACTATATTTTCTCCGGCTCTGGAACGAGGATTGGCCTGATCGATGGATGAGGAATTAAGACCTTGATTTTTGTTCAATTGTGATTTGCCGTTTTTCTCCCTACGAATTTTTTCAGGGAGGGGTGAGCTTAGTTTGAGTAAAAGGCGGCCGATGGTCGGAATTAGGTTGTTGCTCTACCCAAATGAGGTATATTATCAACATATGACGATATTTTTGATAATCCTAACTCAACGCCCAGACATAATCGCCATTTAACAAGCGGAATGATTTCATATTTGATGAAAACACACTCTGTTGATCTCTTATCATAGCTACTCTCATCTATGGACATTTGGTCACCAATTGATGACTTTGAAGATGAGGATTAAATTCCCCACCATTGGGGCATTGGGGAGCTCTGTGATATTGCTAAGTGGTTCATTCTTCTCTCGATACTAGTCTTGCTTCCTAGAGCTACTTCATTCTTGTATTGCCTGATACACCCGCACTGTTGCTCCCCATTCTACTAATGGGAAGTCCTTGGGGGAATCATCTTCTTGTTGTGCATGAGCCAAACTACCTGCTCATTAAAGCACCAGTGAAGAGTTCCACGCATGGGTATCTCGGCATATCTCGCGGTTGAGCCGTCATTTCCTTGAGCTGGGCCGACTGTGCACGTTTTGACAAGCCACAACTGGAATCTGAACTGGAGGACATCTGTTGGGAGAACTTTGCAACTTTTCACCAAGTCGAGACGAGCTTCTCCGAGCCTCTCCACGTGCCCATCTTGATAGCGCAGTAAAAGCCCCGAGGTGTACTTCCCGATGCCGGGCGATCTGTGGTTGTTGGGTATCCGTAGGCACTGTGTCACTTCAATGACGCCGTCGAGCGACGCGGAGGAGCAATTCGCCTTTGGAAGATGATGAAAGAAATGAGGCCAACCTAATGTTGGATGATCATCCGATCGGGGCTGGCGAGCCTCGGTGACCACATGCCCAGAATCGCTATGTTCGAATCCAAGAATCCAGTCATCGAGTTGTGTGTCGTCAGTGTGTTCGAAAAATATCCGCTTTAGACCTTGGCTTGAGCTATAGACTAGCTTCCATCTACTTAGGCCATGTGTCGTCGACCCGATCTGGTGAACGAGACCCTTACTTGTTTTGAACTATGTTTGTGGAGGTTAGATATAACGCAAAGCGGAAGACGTGGGATAAAGAGCAATCTCACAAGAAGTTGCCAGTAATGCCAGTGGCCATGGTTACCAGAGGTGGCTGAATGCCCTTCTATTGCCTTTGTGGCCCAAATCTCAGTGATGGCCTCTTGTGGCCCCAGGGGGATATACAGCCATGTTACGTGACCCTGTGCTTTTCTCTCAACCTCACGGTAGAACACATGATCTTCTCCTGGCAAGTGTGCATGGACACTTATGATGGAGCGCCTAAAATCGGGGGACTTGTCATTGTAGACGGCAAATGAGAGTCCGAGTATATCGGGATGTTGGAGGTCGATAGAGTTCATTCGCAGCGGATATTTGGTGAGATATGATCTCGGCGTTGGAATTGGGTTATATCTCTCAGACCCTGGGGTGTAGTGATCATACTTGGCTGGCGTGGGCCACATGATATTCAGACGGGAACGAGAAGGGAATTGATTGTACCGGTCAGATCTGAACGTCAAGCCGCGCAGTTTGACACCCTAGAAGTTACGTCAAGACGAGCCAATAATGAACAAGTTTAGGAAATACGTACATCTGTCTCTGCAACGACAAGTCGTCCGTCTTGAAAGCGCATTGCTTTCCACCAGATGTCCGGCTTTTCTTCAATCTCGGGCCTTGAGGAATCATCCGTGAATATGATCCTTCGGATCCCAAGGGGACACATTTCAATCAACATTATATATGTAGGCCGGTATGGCTTCGCACTGAATATGAGTTTCCAGGTGCCCCTGAACACTCCGTCCAAGACGTCAGGAGTCGTGTTGGAGAGCGCTCGGATGTATGTTTGACCTTCAAAGTCGACGTACTCGGCCCAGATGTCCTTTCTTAAGTCGAATGAACTATCCCGAGGCTCCTGGTTGCCCATTCGTGTTCTGAGATGAGCGGTGGCATAATAGGACGATCCATAGCCTGCAATTTGGTAAAGTAATTCCCAGGGTAGGTTTGTAATGCACTCGCCAAGCAATGAAACAAGCTCTGCTCCCATGAATGCACGTCTTCGTTGACTATCTGATGCCGTAGGCTTGAAACCAGACCGTCTGACCTTGTAGCAATCAACCATGGTCGGATATGGAGTACCAATCATGGCTGGTTTCGGCACGCCATGACAAGCTTTGTGGCACGCTTGGGAGCCAGAGCCACCGTACTTGCACCTGGAGATTTCGGAGAGGCCGCATGCGCAAAGCCTTCGCCTCTTGGAAACTCCACGACGCAGCGGCTGAAATTCAACCTCCCAGCTGGGCATATGGCTCAAGGTGAGAGAAAGACTTGTTACCACCCAGGTTTTGCGCTCGCCTTCACGCAATGCAGTTAGTAGAGAGGCGGACATATATGCACTAGTGGCACTGAAGGAAGTATTGTAGCTCACCGTTGTTCTGTGTCAAGAGTTGATCACCGAGCTTGAAATCATATCCGCAATAAACACACCACGGCATCACACAAGACGATTTTCTGCGGATATCGTGCCGTGGAGGTTCAAACTCGTCGGGACCGAGATAGAATTCGGGACCATCGCTTGAAGAGCTCATAATGTGACGGGTGGAAGATGGATATTTTGGACAAGAATCACAGAGTGCTCAAGCTGTGACGAGGTAGCCTGATGCTGGTTGTAGATGCTGAAAGATGTTCATCTAAGAGTGAGCTGGCGAGCAACATTATATTTATTTTTGAAGTTCAGTAACCAAGCCAACACATCACGTAATCCCAGTCTTGCACCGTCCGTAAAGTTGATTGATGGCTTGGACAGCCGAGACGAGCACCATGCTTCTGATCAATCACCTCCTTGAAAACAACCACAAGTATCCCATCTAAATGAGTTTCATAAAGGAGCCTAGAAACTCTGGCCTCAAACAGCAGGATCAATTCCATGAATCACTAACGATCAACCCCACGCCATCTCTAGTTTCCATAGCAAGAGCTAGGCGCGGCCGTGGGATATGCACCGTTTGATCTCACCTGCTTGCTTCAGAAGACGAAGCAGCTTGAAACGAGCCACTCAAGATATGGCCCATCAACTGGGTGACAGAACAAACAAGACTTCTGGTTGAAAGGTGGTTAGGAGCAGCTGCCCCCTCCTCTGGTTCATAACGGGGTGGTGTAGATAAACATATTTGTGACGACAAAACATGATCAAGAGAATCATCAAACCTCGCAAACACAAAAAATCACGTTTGAAACCAAGGACGTTTTCCGTTTTGCATCTGAGTTTTCAGGCAGAATTAACTTGGTTTGCGGGTGCATTCATTTAGAACCAGTCTATTCTGATATCTTTACATTTCGGTGATGAAGCTATTGTAACTGCGCTGTCTATATCATCTGCCATAATCATACACGAAGGGGGAAAACCCCACAGTAACCTCCAGGCCGCTCTATGTCAATATCTAAAACTACAAATGTACAATTTCCTCGCCGTCTTGATATCCCGTGTTGATCCAGTGAGATTATCTCCTCCTAGAACCGGGAGATGTCTCTTCCAAATATCCACGTAATTGCCCAGTAGACCGGGATCAATAGTTTGTTCCGTATGCTCATGGACTTGGTGAGGTACGCCGTTCTCCATAATATCCAGGCCGCTTTCCCCTTGAGCTCATCGCTTGCGCTCTGGTGGATGGCTCGCCAGCTGCCCAGGTACGCCATGGTGCCCCAGTTGCGGAACCTGAACGGCTTGTTCTCGTCGATCCCCTTGTTCAGTTGGCGCCCTAGATAGACAGCTTGCTGCGAGGCTACCTGGGCAGTGTTGGGGAACCCTTCGCCCTCCACGACGCTGCAGTCTCCAATGGCGAAGACGTCAGTAAGGCTGAGCTTCTCTTTGTTCCCATTGCTGCCAAACTCGGTCTGCACGCGCATATGCTCATCGACGATGATGCCGCCAGTCTTTGGGTCCTTGAGGATCTTGCCGAAACCCTCGATTTCCTGGCTGACCAGCTTCTCGACGAGCGGGTTCTGTTTCAGACCTGTGCTCCATACCACGACACCAGCGCCCACCTCCTCCGGCTCCTCTCTGATCTTGAGCATGAGGTGATCGTCCACCCGTCGAATCCGCTCCAGCTGATGCTCAGTCTTGACCTTAATCCCCTGCCGATGGAACATCTCGATTGCATAATTGGCCAAGTTCTTGTCAAACATGGGCAGCACCTTGGGCGCGATGTCGTAGATGGTGATGCTGACGTACTTCATCAGCGCCGGATACATTTTAGAAAGATCCTCGTGAACCAGATCAAAGAGTTCCGCCGCGAACTCGATTCCAGTTGGACCCCCGCCCACAACGGCAAAATGGAGAAGCTTCTTCTTGTCCTCCTCTGACGTGCTGGGTAGAGCGGCCCCCTCGAACGCTTTCAGTACCTTCAACCTGATCAGCCTGCTGTCTCCCACATCGCGGAGAAAGCAGGCGTGCTCCTTCACGCCCTCGACGCCAAACGTCTGGCTGTGGCAGCCAACCGCGATGACGAGCTTGTCATACCCGATCTCGAACTCCTTCCCCGAAGGGATCGGCCCGGCCTCTGACCTGGTGGCACGGTCATCGCGGCGGGTAGCCTCAAGCCGGATGGTCTTGCGGTTGAAGTCGATGTCGGACGCCCAGGCCTGGTGGTAGTCGGTCAGGCCGAGGCGGCGGACGGGCTCGATGGCGGCGCGGAACTCGATGGTCCCGACCGAGGCGGAGGCGAGGAGGGGCGTGAAGACGAAGTACGAGCGGGGGGAGATGAGGACGCGGTCCATCTTGCTCGGCGAGACGACGCGGGCGAGAGCGTAGCCCGCCCACCCGCTGCCGAGGATCACAACCCGCTCCTTCTTCTCCTCGCTGGTGCTGGTGTATCCCCTCACCCCTCCTCGAACCCTTGGGCGGGCTCTCTCTGCCTCGCCATGGCACAAGACAGAATAACCAAGTTGTCGAGTGACATATGAAGCGGCTGCGTTGGCGGAGAGAGCTCGCCGAGTGGCAAGGGCGGTGCGAGTACCAAGTTGCAGACACTCAACCATTGTTATTTTTCAGTGACCTTGAAGACGAGATTGAAACAAAATCTGTGAGGAAGTATCAACTTGGCTTCCAGGCCTCGTGATATGAACCAAGATACTGCTCGTGGGACTGAACAAAAGTCGTTTGCTAGTTGTGGTGATGTGATGTCATTCGAGGCTCATGGCGATGATCTAAGCTGACTCCGGCTTCCTGATGCCCGCCATCCATCCGTCCACCCTTCCATTCTTCCACGAGGGCGGCGGCGGTATAAATCGCGTTTTTTTTTTTCGCCCCCCGTCATCTCGGGCTCATGTAGATTACCTAGTGCACAGGCTTGACAGGACGAGATTGTCGAGACGGGCATCTCGCCGGGGCAGTGACGCACCTGGATCTTGCAGCGAATCGCAGTGCCGAGCGCTAGCTTCTAGTGATCTAGCAGGGCTGCCGGCCCACTGAACCGAGCATCGATCCCCTGTAGGAGGCTCCAGCTCGCGGGAAATCGGGCTCGTCCCACCTGAAAGGCGCTTCCGATGAACCCGTTTCCGTGTTTTCCCTATGAGTGGGATCTGGGCCTCTCACGCGAGCCATTGGCGAATCAGGCTTCGTCTGTGCTGGCCTGCCCAGCAAAGACATATCTTTTCAAGCGGTGGGTAATGAACGAGGCTGGTCTGAGTCACCTTTAATTTCTTCTCGTCTGAATGACCATGATAATATGCACATTAATCGATCGGTGTATGTAGTAGTTAACAGTATCTCCCTGTACGCCAGTAGCTCTAGTGGCCTTTTTATTCACATTCCCCTCACTGGAGCATAGAATCCAAGCTCTCACCCAGCACACCCTCAATTTTGACAATCCATCTGTGTGTTTCCCTTTCCACTTCCTCGTCGTCGTCCTCCTGTAGCTCGCTGATCCTGGGCAGCATCTCATGCAGCATGGACAGCCACTCCTCTCCAAGACGGTCTGTGAGTTCTTGCTCGCACAGGACTGCTGCCAGCCGCACTGCCTTCTGTTCCGACCGCAGGTGGTTGAGCAGCGCAGAGTTGAGCTCCTTCTGGTGAGCCTGAGAGTCCGCGGCCGCCGCGAGCTCCACCACAGTCGGGACCAGGTCAGCCTCGACATCAATTAATGGCGCGTGTGTAAACTGCTCCATCAACACCGGGGCCAAGACCCCAAAGTGGGAAGGAGCCTGCCAGAAGTCATCCTGATCATGCTCGAAGCTCTTGACCAATGTTGCCAGCACACGAGCCCAGAGTTCCTTCTCCTCCTTGACCTTGGGATTCAGTGTCTTCAAAATAGCCACGGCGTCGTCTAGCATGTAGGTGGCGTAGTTGGTCACGATCGACTTGAGGCTTTCAAAGAAGTGCCCAAGGAACCCGTATACACTGTACTGGCGGAGCACCTTTCCGGTCTTGTCACTCTTGGCCAGCCCAGAGTTGGCCCACTCAATGAACTGTCCGAATACCGGCCTGAAAGAAGCATCATTGAGCTTGAAGATCATCTTTAGTGCCCTCTCGTTCACACTGCTCTCAATTTGGGCAATCTCATCCAGGACTGCTGGTGCAGCGCTTGCATGGTATTTTTGTCGGCGAACATCAAATGCCTTCATGAAGATGCCAGCCAGCAATGTTGCATTCTTCGTGATGTTTGTCTTAGAATGCTTGTCGATGGCCATACCCAGAATGTTGACATTCTCTGCAACAGCCTGTAGATCACAAATATTAGTCGCCATCATCCATAATTAGGTGCGAGATTGTCTCAAGGGGACGGGAGTAAAATATATCTTACCGTAAAGCCAGCCAGAACAGCGTTGTCCCAGTTCCTATCCACAGCAGCAAAGATATCCTTGGCATCGAGACGCTTAGCAAAGAATTCGAGGCAGTTTGCCCGACTCTCATCAACCTCACTTCCGAGGCCAGCTTCTGCAGACATATTCGAAATCAGCAGGACCTTATCCACGTAAGTCGACAGCATGAATGGAAGGTGCTCGGCTAGTGAGCTCAGAAGACCATAGCATGCCGTATGTAGTTCACCGTCTGGTTCATCCCCGTTGATGCTGTTCTCGAGGTACTCGACGGCACGTGGGATCGCGAGGGGCAGGACGGGCACAACGGCTTCCTGGAGAACATCAACCAACGACGTCAAGCACAAGAGTGCCATGATGCGTAAGCGCTTGTCCTCTTGGCCAAGACAGTGCTCGCCGGCAATGGTCTGAGCAGCAGCTACCACACCCTCAATGTCCTTCTTGCCATACTTCTCCGCAATCTTGTCGACGCAGGTCACAGCCGTCAGCTTGTAGCGTACATCGTTTGACTCTCGGATAGCGGCAGTGAGCTGCGGCAAGAATGCCAACAGAGCAGCTCTGGAGGATGGTTCTGTGTTGCTCTCCTTTTCTACTCTTCCTTCCAAGGCACGCAGGACCTTGTGGCGGAGACCCAAGTTGTCGCGGCCGAGTAGGTTCTCCACGATCTTGATGAACTCACTGATTGAAAGCAGGTTGAGCAGGTTGGACAATGCGGCGCCGCATTTGGAGTGGAGCACCTTCTTTGTCTTGACAGTGTCGGACAAAACCAGAA